CCCTCCCCCCCCCCCCGAGGCACACTGCGCCTTTTCCGCGCAAGATTCCTTTAAGAAGATGTTCACAACAGGACATTAAACCTCCGCGAGCTAGGACTAAGCCCATGAGAGGGGAAACCTCCAGGTAGAAAGGAATTTGTTGACATTCTTCCGGATCGCTTCCCCTCCCTCTGCTTCAGAGAACATGAAAATCGAGTTTCGAAGCTAGAGAAATAATTCAGCCTACTTCCACAACCCAGCTCTTCACATTTCGTTCTTTTCTTTAGAGTATGTTAGAAGGTCTGAGATGCACGCAACCTGCGCACCGTGGCCACAGTCCCCAAAGTGGATGTCTGCCGGATGATGTAAGCTGTATTCAGAATTGTTTAGTACGACACAGGATTCATTCAGAAATTTCAGTATTCTGGTGGATACTTGCGTAAAAATTGGGATACGTTGCACTCGAAGCTTACCGAATTGGCCGCAAAAATCGAGCAGAAATGATCGTTTTTTAGTCGTTGGATGTACCGTTTAGAATGAAGTGCAAAAAAAAAACAATCGTACTCACTCACCCGTAGCCAAATATACGGCAAATGGTCGTCCCATACTCGGCCGAAAAGCCATCGTCGCACACATTTCCCCAGGTGTTGTTCTTCGACACTCGCAGAACGTTGTTCACCAAATCGTAGTGCACGTCTCCTTGAAAAAAACAATACTGTAATTGAGCAACAGAGCGACCAAATAATTGATAATGAGACGGGCTCTCTGAAGGCCTCTTTCAGTTTTCATTCTATTTTCATGTTAAGATCATGTAAAATTGTGATGAAGTGGATGAAGCTGACCGATATATCAGGGTGTCCAGGTTTTCAAAACCTTTCGGGCACATAATTTAGTGTCAAATCAACGGGCCATTGTCTAGAAAGAGTAACAGCTAAAAAAGCTTTATATCGGGTTGGAGCATAATATCGTAGCGTTTTTCTTTTCGAGCTACAAATTCAGTGAATACAAGTATTACCCAGGAAATCACATATATCATTTGAAAGTACTTCTTCTGCTCTACAATACCTTGTTTGGCATTTTCTTCTATTGTAAGTGTACTCAGATATGGCGCTTAGAAGTTGGAGAATCAAGGTGGGCGAAAATCTATATAGAGAAAAAAGCTGCCAAAATAGGAGTTTTTCGGAATCCATCGTCATCATCGAACCTTACTCCAGTCGACCCTTAATTTCAAATCATATTCACGTCGTACAATTGAGAATAATGAGGATTCTAAAAACGGGCTCAGTACCCTTTTTTGATTTCTAAACCCGGTAATTTCTTGCGAAATGGAACCAAAGTCGTAAATAATGATGAGAAGAACATCACTGATCAGTTTTATGCTTGGCTTTGCTTTTGGGTTTTGCTTTAAACTTTTTGAATGCGAGCGCTACGATATTATGCTCCGACCCAATATATTCAATAGGAAAAACCTTTCAATTGACCAACCGCCTTTACGAAAAATCTCCATCTAAGGAGGGCTCCACAAGAAAGCCAAAGATCGAAAAAGGGTAACTTAGCCAGTGAAAACACCGGTGGACTCCATAAGGGTGCGGACTGACACGAAATTTGCAGCAAGGATTATGCCCTCAGCCGTCTAGCATTGCCGTCTACGCTGCGCTATCGGCCTGGCACGCCCACCAGCTGCCTAATCACTCGCCGGTCTCCGGCCGTTTAGCAGAGAAAGAGAGAAAGCGTTAGCGTTGAAGAGGGCAGCACCGATGAGAGTCGCATCAATGCGGAATCAACGGGCAAGGAAGGGGTCCATTTCTCGGGTTCTAGGCCGTTTTTCATGGTTTTTTTTCTTTCTTGCATCACTGACCATCTCTAACTTCATGTACAATGAGTTCCGAGTTCCCGTTCCGTAAAATCCCCTTTCAAGAGAATTTACGATCGTTTGAGCATGTAATCTCGTATGACGAGCTTCAAAAACATGTTTTCCTAGTTCAAATGGGCAGCTCGGTGGAGTTCTTGCATAACCCCCAATTCTACAATTAAAAACTACTTTTAATTGAATGTAACCACCATGGGCGACGACTATTTCTATCTCGCCACAAAGTTCTTTGCGCACTGCAAAGCAATCCGGGCGCAAATTTGTTTGCGTGCAAGCGCTGCAAGAAGACACTAAACCAAACTCCATTTCTAATCGGAAGCAAGCGAGAGCGCTGTAAAGTTGGATGCAGTAATATTCCTTCTTCCTTTCCTGGACAGTAGAAGTTAGTGAGCACAATTGTCACCCTACTCCACCATTAACTTCCAATGAAACTGATTAGATATTGGAAATAGAGATGGATGAGTCACTTATAAGATTTCTACCAGGTGCAGATTACACGTCAATTTAAATGGAAAGCTAGAGCTTGTTCTGCGCCACGCAGACCAAGACGAAACAACTTATCATTTTCTCTAGCTTAGGAATCCACAAGCAGCTTTTGTCTGTATGTGACTCCGGAAGAGATTACCTTCGCTGCAGTTGCGCATATAAAAATACAGGAACTGCTTCTGAAGCATCTCAACCACAGCAAGACTCTCTTGTTGGCTTCCACATGAGCAAAACCTACCCAAGCTCTACCTACGGGTTTGGTCACACTTTCCTGCTCTGTCGAAATGCTGGATTGAGATGGTCGCGAACAGCAAGGCACAAGCGGTCGTGGAGTTTAGACAATTGTTGGACAACACAATCGGAGACAACAAAATTGCCGTGCTACTTACTAGTTGAAAACCTCTTCCTATAAAATTGGCTGCCAGGTCTGACGGCAAGAATAGCGCCGACGTCTGAGCTATCGGTGAGTAGGCACGTCTGAAAAGTCATGAATATACAGGATGATGAAGCATTAATCGACTGTTGTTTATCAATTCATTTTTGAAACGAGCTGCGCATTTGACTGCCCTTTGAGAACAGTCACAGCATTCATAGTATGTAAAGTGTGTAACAACTAACAGAAGAGAGAACTTAAATGTAAAAAGATGTATCGGTGCTAAGCCCGGACTGTCAGTGCTTTACTAGAGCGCGAACAGTTTCGATTTTCACCTAATCTTATGGCTTCGTAACTAAGATACCTGTGTCCTGGGTTCGTAAGAGAAGGCCTCGCACAGCAATGAACTTTCCTTGCATCGTCTAGCGCACTGAAATTCCAAGAACTTTGTGCATTATCAGTATCAGACGGATTGCCCTGCTGAAGCTGAGGACTGCTCCTCCTAAAGTAGTCGCGCCGAGACTGCCGAGTGACTATTACTTTTGGAGGATGGGTAAAAATACCCTTCTGAGTAACAAGCCTAAATCACAATTTGTCCCTTTGAATTTTTTTGAGTTTTGACCACGAATCGTCGATGATTACGGTGATATAAATGTATTATAAAAGACGGTGATAGTATAAAGTCAAGGCTGTAACATCCAGAAGGCAGGAAGTACCAGAGTACTGCTTGGTAATTGCAGCGGCACCATGGCACAGTGAACCCATGGAGTACTTCAGATGATTCCTTTCTGTCATCGAGTGTATGCGCCTAAGGGCTCGAGCGTCTAGTTTAGCAGCGTTTTACATGCGTAGTGCACGCTCTCGGGAGAAACACTCACAAGGAAGGTCTTTCAGGAAATGCCCAGCTTTCTCAAAACGGTTTTTTGCATGATATAGGGGTACATATGCATGGAACACAGAACTGTAGTTCATTTTTCCTGAGCGGCCCTCTGAATACCAAAAAAGGGGTGATGAAGTGGTCCGTGGTTCGAATCCTCGCAGTGACAATTTTTTGCATTTTGTGTTGGCGTTTCAAAATTCGCGAAAAATAGCGTCAGCGGAAACAACTTATGTCATATCTATAATTAGGACCATCAGCAACCTTTATACGTAGACTTTGGCTAAAAACTGGTGAAAAAGTTAAGAACGGCAGTTCCTTGAGAATTTTTCTTCGCTCCTTTTTTGTTTTCAGAGGGTCTTCGAAAAAATGAAACACAGTTCTGTGTTCCATGCACGTACCTCTTATACCATGCAAAAATTGTTTCTTTTCTTCAAAAGCTTTGCAATTCCTGGAAGAACTCCCTGGTCCGGAAAAATAGTAGTTGTGGTGAAAACTGTGCCTATCAGGAAAAAGGAAGTCAGCCTGCGAACTGTTCCATTCAAGATGTCCAGTATCGTGGGTTTTACCGCGGTCGACATCATGTTGCCTCAACACTGATTTGGACGTTAGCCTTATGAGCGGTTGCTAACCCTACCTCTCTTCTCCCTTCCCCACTCCTCCTTCTCTCCAGTTGCTAAGGCACCACTACGTGGAATGACTGAGAGTGTGCTCGACCAGTGCTTATAGCAGCGGGTGTTATCACAGACACTAAATCATCATGGCAAGCGTTGACCTCTCTAGTTCTGATAGCGAATGTCTCTATTAGACCTTTATCTTGCTAATATATGTACCGACCGACACATTCACACACATACAGTCGATATCCAAGAGTTGGGGTAGGAGGGTCACCGGAAGTGACGTGCACTTGATAGAAGTTGCGTGGATAAGCTGTTGCCAGCATGCTTTGCTGATATCCAGCGATGTATGTTGGAAGCAGCTTATCCACATAGCTTCTATCAAGTGCGGCGATGGCCACGTCGTTTCCGGTGACACGCCCACCCCAACTCTCGGATATCGACGTATACTTACTGACATAGACACCGGCATCCCGACAAACCGACACACCAAGGTGTTTGCTCACATTGTAGAGTGATTTCTCAGCAGTACTTCAATTAAAAAAGAGGCCGCGACAGTCTCGTTTCGGAAGTATTTTGGGACCTAGTTTCTCACCAGCAAAGTATGAGCAAAGGTATAAGACGTAAGCAAACCAGCCCTTTTGGCGCTTCGGCTGGGACCGTATGCTGAATGTTGGGGAGGGGATGGAGTCCCCGACGGTGGACGGACCACTTCAACTCGGTCCTTAGAACCGCCACAATTTGGTGCTTACCTCAGAACTAAGCCTTAAAGAGAGGACGGGTCCGTCCCCTCTCCAAGGCTTAGTCCTGGGGTGAGCAAACCAGCCCTTCTGGCGGAGCTGCTGGACCAGCTGCACCACTTGCGTCAGTACTCTCCTATCGTACCAACCGAGTTGAAGTAAACCGTCGACCGTTGGGGACCCCATCCCCTCCCCAACATTCAGCATACGGTCCCAGCCGAAACGCCAAAAGGGCTGGTTTGCTTACCTCGAGGTATAAGCCACTGAATGGGATTAGCTCTTGTTCAAGATCTAGATGTGCGAGAAAGTACCTTAACCCCAAAAGGGCAAGCCCATGGATAACTTTACACTTTTGGAAAACCCTAAGGCTGAGGGCGACCATGGTAGAATGGCGAAAAGATCAGGCACTACTCGAACATGGCCCAGTTGCTAGTTTTATCAACTATAAAGCTCGTAGGATACTATGATTGGCAGAGGAGGTTGTCATTGTCATTGGCCATACTTCTTTCCTATAAGGTAAAACTCTTTAGATCATCAGTCAGATAAAACAGATATCCGCTCAAAACACAGAATTTGCCTGATTTCCAGAGCCTAATCGAAATTCAGGCGAATCTCAAAAATAAATTATGTTGATTTCATGAACGATATCCCACATGCAGTAGTGAAGAAAGCGAGACTCATTAAGTTAGGATAGGCTGTTAGGACAACTGCTTGCACCATGGTTATCCATATTCAGCTAACGAATGAAAATGCTAGTGCAGTGAAGTAATATCGGAAATGCTCCACCGAACCCACACGCCTAGCAACTGATTGTCCCTAATCACAAGTAAAGAGGCTTTCGAAAGTCTCCGCAAAATTGAGCATTGCCGTATTTTACTTTATATTTTACTGCACTTGCATGACTTATGGTTACAGCGTTAAGCGTCTGATAACAACGGTTTTACTTGATATGAACATAGAAGGACTTGTCGGAAGGTTGTTGAATGGTACCGTACGTCTCGTTCGTCTTCTAATTTTCGAAGAGTAAATGGCTTACTTACACAATTACTTGCAGAAGCTGAGAGGCTCGTCACATATAAACAAAACTGCGCCTGCACTTGTGCAAAGTTAGCGGTGTCAAATAAGTAATCTACCTAAACCGAGATATGTACGTTACACGTGCATGAATTAATTGAGTATAGCCTTTGTGACAACGTAAAGGACAAACACATTCAGAAGTACAACTCAGGATGAACAGAGGTGAGAAAGTTTTTGGTGGGGTTGATGTAACTGTTCATGAAAATCGCAAGAGCCCTTGCGATTTTCATGAACAGTTACATCAACCCCACCAAAAACTTTCTCACCTCTGTTCTGCGCCTCTCTTGGGCTTTATGCGCGCAGCAAGTGCACTAACAAGGGAGGTCTTTCAGGGCAAGGTGCGCTTTTTGGAAACGGTTTAGTACATGTTGTAGGGACGCATGTATGGACCACAAAACCATGTTTCGTTTTCGCTGAACGGTTTTAGTAGTACCAAAAAAGTGGTGAATAATACTCTTGATGGTTCAATCCCCCGCGGCGACTAAATTTTGCAATCAAGGTTGGCGGCCACTTGTTGGCTTCAAAATGGTCCTGACGATGAATTTGACATCTGATTTTGATATTTAGCGCGATTTGGCACCAAACCGTAGGCGCCAACCCAAATGCAAAATTTAGTCGCCACGGGGGATCGAACCCTTAACAGTACCTTATGCTTCTTTTTTGGTACTGCTATAACCGTTCAGCGAAAATGAAACATGGTTTTGCGTTCCCTACATGCGTCCCTACAATATGCACAAAACCGTTTTGAAAAAGCGCACCTTGCCCTGAAAGACCTCCCTTGTAAGGCCTTGCGGAGGTCGCTTTGACCGTTTCCGTCGCTGCTCGTCAGCAGCATGCTGACGTCACCGCCCTTTCAATCGTTTTGCTCCCTTGCCTATCCTCTCTCCTTCCTACTCAGTCTCTCACGGTTTCATCGTTAGTACAAGAGCGTTAAAGTTTTTAACTTGAGTGTTTTCGGAGGATTCTTTTCCTTTTTTACTGCCAATATTCTTCGCACTAATGCTTCCATCTTCAGTCTGAGAACCACACCAATTTGATACTGGGTGGTGCCTTCGATGAATAATGACGTTAGAAGGTTACGTTCAAAGCACAATTGCTATGCAGTGCCAACGATGTGCTCAGAAAACGTTGTAATGATCGGTGAGATGGAATATTGCTGTGAAGGTACAACATTTATCAAAACGTTAGGAATAATGAGCTCACCCCTTGTGCATGCGGAATGTACGTCCAAATTTCGGTGATTTTATCGGCCAGCTTCAACGTGCCAATCAATTCGAAATAGCTCAGAAAATCTTCTGGAATGGAAGATTCATCAACAATAAAAAAAAGTAGTTGCGTGGTCTCGCTTATGAGGTTTTCGAATTTAATGACGGATTGAACATGCGAATTTAGTGCGCGTCATTTTCTTATGGCACTTTCTTATGTTTCGTTTTCTAAGTTGGTTGAAAGCTTCACGAATGAATAGGACAACCACGGCGCCCGGATGTCTAAAAACACGAAAAACACTATGATTTTGATCAGATTGGTCCCTCGACAACCGCTGGACCTCCCTTTCCTGCGAAAGCTTTACGCCTTCGCCTGTGCTCCCTTTCCCATAAGACACGCATACATAAATACATACAAACTGGCACACCAAGTTAACGTTCATATAATAGAAGGATTGACGCATGCAACGGGCTAAAGGCACAACCCAGGCAGAGGTCGTGTGAACGCTTCCCTTCGGTCTGTAGTATAGACCCCTAGAGGACAATCACAAATGTGGCGTTCCGTGCACGGAAACCAACCGACAAGAGCGCTTGGGCCTTGCAAAGTAAGCTGCTGAAGCTGCAGATTTTTTTCTCTTATCAGGCTGTTGTCTGGCGCTCTCTCATCTGTAGCGCTCTCTCGCCTCATTCTCCTCCCCGCGCTTAGCCTCTCTCTTTTCCTTTTTTCTTTACAGCCGGCCAATTTCGCTCCAGTACTCGCATTCGTTTGCAAAAGCCACATTAATATGTTTTTGCGCATGCCTTTAAAGGAGGAATTTCACGATTAGAATGAAGGTCGAAGAAAGGGAAACTGACCTAGTTGAGGGACCCACGGACCTCCTGAGGGTGCGAACTGACGCGCAATTCGCATGGAAAAATTTGACCTCGGCGACCTATCATGCCTCAAAGCTGGCGGGTCCGGCGATCTCCGCCCACCGATCATCTGATCACTCGCCGTAGTTCAATACGTGGCGAGTGATTAGATAGCTGAGAGAGCGTAGTGTTGAAGAGGGCACAGCGATGAGAGTCGCATCAATGCTCAAATCAACGGGCAAGGAAGGGGTCCCATTTCTCGGGTTCTGGGCCGTTTCTCATGGTTCTTCCTTCTTTCGTGTACCACTCACCATCCCTAGGTTAATTTGAAATGGGTTGCTTTTTCATCGTGAATTCGTCCTTTAAGCCAATTCGGAAATCTAGTTCACCAAGAAGTTTAAAAGAAAGTGCACCGCATCAGAATCCCTTCTATGTCAACTTCTTTTTTTTCGTGAATTATCATTTCACCTCCAACGCTGGCTACCATAACCACATACGGTGAGCACACAGAAATCCTCTTCCTCTCATAGGTGTACCTAATTTGGGCAAAATCCTACGCTCATATGTGCTTATTGTATTAGTACGAGTAATTCATTACGAGTCAGCATTAACGCTTTTCATCAAATGGCCTAAAAAGAGGGTATTTAAGATTTGAAATTGATTTCCGGTGCTTCTGATAGAGAAATAGATTACGATATCTGAGAAGATCTCGGCTTTTCAAACACTGAAAGCACCATGCAATTTTAAAAGAAAAAAGAATGATGCGCATTTCTGATCTAACAGGTGACCACACCTGAGCTAAAGCAGAACTGCACACAATGATGTTCTTATAAACACTTCCTTACTTTATAGGCTGACTCATTCATCAAGAGTTCGATTAATTTTTGTGATGCGAAAAAATAGCCCAGATAGTTTCTACTAAAAAAGTTTGATTGGGAAGGTTTACGCCAAAGCAGGTGTTAGACGATGCATATCGAGCTTGAATTGGTAGTTCAAAAGCTAGCTGCAAAAGCAACGTTTCCTATGGGCATGCTGTGACCTTGAGACCTTGGTGGTAGAAGCTTGGTGGTGTGGACAACACTTCGCCTGAGTAATAATAAGTATCTCAAGCTGATGTCCAACATGAAACGACTGCTGAAGAGGGAGTCAGCCCTGAGAAGTTACAAATAATATTAAGACTGCATCAAATTTAGACCCTGCACCATTCTCGAAAAATAGGCAGTAAAGTAGTTCCCACAAAAATCGGAACCAAATATCTTTCCTCACATTTTCAGACACTCGAACGATGACTGTTGAGTCAATTCACGTAAATCCCATGCAAGCCCGACAACTGAGAAATCATGAATCAACAATTAAGGCTCGGTGAGCATATAAGGATAAAAGGATAAAGCATTTGCCGTTGATCAATCCCTTTTTGGGATGCGGCACGCATTCTACTTCCATTTGTACATTCGTAGTGGCGTTTGAATGCGATGTGGCCTATACAATGACTTGCGGGGGCCAGCCGATGTACAAGTCAGTGTTTTTATCCTCCCAGACAAGTCTGGTACCAATTAACCGACCCCGGAGGGATGGAAGGCTTGGTTGGACGACCCAGGATTTGATCCCCGGACCGCTCGCGTGGTAAGCGTGCCACTTGCCACTACACCACTTCCGCCCGATGAGCAGATACATAACATTATTTGTACATCTCTGTGGACTTTGCAGGTTTTTCCATACAACAAAGAGCAAGAAACTATCGTGACCATACTAAGGAACACGGACGCATAAATGTACTCATGCACCACATACGGGGTTGATTAATCTTACAGAATGGATATCAATTTCTCGATTCACACATTTAAAGAGAACGCCACTTTTTAACTACTAGCTGCTGGCTATAGCGAAAATGTGCAGCATGAAAACAAGCATTCGCCTGACCGCAATCCACTTCGTCACTGGCATCGTCACAGTCAGGTTCATAGTCGCAACGAAAATCATTCGCCAAACATCTGCCTGAGTCATGGCAGGGAAAGAACCCAGCACCACACTCCGGTGAGGCTGAAAATTCGTTTAAATGCTATAAACATCATACAAGTCACAAAGAGTGATTGAAGCAACGGATCGGGATTAAGCGAGCAAAAGTGAGAAGTGATGGTCAAAGTCAAGAATGACGGAGGGGTCCGAGCCTTCCCTATCGATGGTGAAGCTTCCCCCCATTCAAGATAGCAGGGGGACAATGTTGTGTAGCAATCGCGAGCGCATCGCACTACATTATCGAGTGCATTTTTCACTCTAAAACCAAAGAAATTCAAAGACATACATAAATCGGCTTTGAGTTCAAAATTCCCAGGCGAGTCCGGACACTGGGGAATTTCGCATGCTTGACGCACCGTCGGCGAAACGAAGCAAGTGGGAGTCCTGAAAACCCTGATTTTAATCAACGATAAGAAAACATATGCTATCCCAGTACACTTCAGTGCTCCGTATTGTGAACTTACTCTTCTTCATTAATTATTCGACAGAAGTTGTGGTCCCAACCAGTTTGTCCAACTGTAACTAGGTCATAGAAAAGTACAGCGGGATCGTTCCACTTCATACATGGGAAGCCTGTAATGTTCAATATCATCGTTTAGCACAAATCTATCGTGCCTTCATTTGAAATATGACACAAGAGGACGGGCTCGTAGACAGTAGTAAAGGTAGGAATTTCTTATACCTCTGGACATGGAGCTGTCACGGGCCATCTCGATCCTTGCGAATTTTAATTCAGAGTTGAGGTTTTTTGATAGGAACGCATGATATAATCAAAGGTCACTGGCAATCTAGGTGAAGCTGAGGTGAGGCCCCCATCGTTTTTTCCAGATAATCACAACATTTGCGACAATGTGCTTGTCTGGCTGATAAAGAAGTCTTGATCGCAATTCCACCCTCACTTCAAACACTCGCATTTTTGTTACAGTCGGATCTCAATCTTTCTTGTATTCAGCATTATGGTCTTTATTATGTGCTCAACGAAGAGGCAGATTTTCAGCTTCCAGAGCCCGGAACTGTGGTGGTTGTGAATCAAAGAAACCGAAAATCTCATTCCTAAACTCCGAGTGATCATTGAATTTTTCCTCGTGTGGATTATGTTCAAGCGCACCATTCAGAGAGCAGTATGGATGGGCTAGATCTAACAAATTGCTGGATAGAGTAGCGTCTCCCATCAGTGTTCGATAACACTGTGACGGGAGCGCTGAAACACGTGATCATTCGTCGCCGTGGAGAAACAACTTTTTCAGTTTTGGATATCCCGTCGGTGAGCACCGCCCAGCTTCTGTAGTTAAGTAGCGTGTGCCCGAACGGTCATGGTGAATCCGGCAGGAAGCAGAGCAGTACAAAATAGAACATTCCTCGGAGTTCCCACCAACATCAGAGCAAACTCTCGCATTGGTCACCCTTCAGCGGTTTTGAGGCGGTTTTCCGAGGGACTGCTAGTGGTGACACGGCGTATGGTGGGCATAATGAAAAACCAGCTACCATCCCAGTAACGACGTATTGAGAAGCCCTCCCCGTGAAGGCGCAGAAGCAAGGTGCATGTACTGGTCATTGGCGCTTCATCAGTGTCACAAATCTGGTGTGATTCCTGACTCTACCTTACGGTAGCCTGAATACTACGATGTTTGGAGACAGCTTCCTGGCAACGCCCAAGCGTTGTTGATATCGCGGGTATCGGCACTAGTCCTCATTTACTGGCCATTGAAGTCTTACTCTCCACAGCAGTCGGACAGCCAGAAAGAAGTCACCTCTTAAACAAATTTCTTCATAAAGAGAGCGCTAATATCAATCGTGAGCGTTGAGCTGGGATGTATTGGGCTTTCGTTGAATGCAGCGTAGATTCAGACGACTTGGTTGTCAAAATATTGAAAATATTTTAGGAACTCATAAAAAACAAGAGTTCGAAGATGGTCTTAGTCAACTGAAGTCATTGTTGCTTCACACGTATAGATGCGAGTTTACGAACTGCCAAAGTGAAGCTTTGAAAACTCTCCACCACCCTCACTACGAAATCCTTCCTACTGATCTCTGTGAATCTAGAAAAGAGTGAAATTTGCGATCAGGACTTTTTCCTCAACCTAATATGTGCACACCGGCAGAACGACGCTTCTGATAATTACACAAAGAAGAATAGTTGAACGTGTTCTTTTTTTTCGTAAAAAAAGCTCATTTTCTTCAAACATCACGATAAAAAATTCTCAGCCAGTCCTTGGATGGTCGTGAACAAATTGTTTTCTCATCACCTACCGCTTTGACTATTGTTCATCTTTCCGTTGTATTCGCTGTGATAGACACATTCTCTTGCCACTTCACACAGAGCCGTACCAGGAGAGTCGCAGTCAACCGCTTGAAACGCACCATTTCTAATGGCCAAACACCTCCCCTCACCGATGACGTCAAACTGTAATCAATGCTTCAACAATTACAAGGAGCATATGGAAGTAGAATTACTGGGAGCTTTTTCTCTTCCCCAGCAGACGTACTCCCCTTCAAAAAACGAGAAGAGCGTCGGGTGCAGACCATACACCACAAGTGACGACGGCCTTCACAAAATGTAAATGTTTTCTGCCAATGAAATGATTAGCCTGTTGCAGTTGTATTCTATCAGTTGTCACTAATTACAACTATCATTTACCAAAAATCAGCTATCACTATGAACTACTAACCAGATTTACTTGGAGGCCGTCGTCACTTGTGGTGTATGGTCTGCACCCGACGCTCTTCTCGTTTCTCGAAAGGGAAGGTACACATTGCGGACCACCTGTTGAACGAGGTGGTCCCTGAACCTTTTTATGTTGTTTGAAAACAACTCATTGTTAGTCTACCAACAATTTTACCAGTGATAACACTTGTATACTCCATATTTCAAAGTCAGATTGGGCGTATCTGTGGGTTTGACGTGGGGCCGCCGCACTTGATGGAAGTTGCGCGGAAGCTGCTTCCAGCATGCTTTGCTGATATCCAACGGAGTATGTTAGAAACAGCCTATCCACACGGCTTTTATCAAGTGCGGAAAAGGCCACGTCAAATCCATAGCCACGCCTAATCTGACTTCGAGATATCGACTGTATGTTTTCCGATTCTAAATATGAGTAAGTACAGTTCGAAAAACATTGAAAAAAGCCCAATAAATGAAATTCAATCCACAGTAGTGCACGATTTTACACAAAATGCTAATCGCGGTACGTATTGTGCTAATCAATTGTTATTCAGAAGCCCTAAATAATTTACCTCCTGCGCTCTTAGTAGTCTACTTTAGTACGAGTTCTTACTTGTCATAAAGCTCCAAACTTAACAACATCTGACGACTCTGCTAGGTGCATGAACTAAGAAAGCTTTACCTGTATACAAGTCAAAGCTAGGGCCAATTTATGGCGCACCCCTGAAGACTTAGCCTGCCTTATAAGCTTACGATAAGAAGAGATTCCTCAGAGGCGCTATGAATACCTAAACCTTCCTTTACATAAAAACATAGAAAACCGACTTCGATTGGATTTCCATCATCCCATAGCCACTGGGATCCTTTTCTATAACCAGAAGTGAAGTACGTCCTACTCTTATCTGAAATTTTGAAGCATTAAATTGATATGTGAAATATTCCACACATCTTGGGTTTTATACTCATACAGCATTTTTTTCAATGGTCAGCTATTAGCGAACGACTTTTCTCGAAATAACATTTCTACGTGGCTCTGTAGAAACAGGTGCCCTCGCTGCGTACACAAAGGGTCAAATAGCGCCCATGTTGAACAAGCCTTTAGTCGCTTTAGGATCGATGGCTGATTTGAAGTACATTCCTCTGAAATGATGAACACCCGTGCAGACATGGCATGCGTTACCCCTACAAACAGTTTTGAAGGGAATGTTAGGTGATTCCTCTGCTACGATCGCAAACATTGTGAGTCCAAAACCATTAAGAGACTGTGAGTCATACTTCTAGATATTTGCCTCGCACACGCTCTGGTACCGTTTTGTGGAAGCAGTTTTCGGGCTTAATTCCCTAAGCAAACACAACGTACCAAAACTTTCGACCGCCAATTGCATTAGTGCAGTGCGATCTGATTCGCGAGGAAGTGAGAGTACTTGGAAAAAGCAAGCCTCCTGAAAAGCAAACAGTTTGAACTTCCCAAAAAAAAACGCGTGTTCAAAACGGCTAACAATTAACTATTGTAGAAATCAGAAATCTGAATAATTGAATAAGGATTTTATGTCAACGACTGAGAAGAGAAGGCAATTCAATCAGCTTCCAGTATCACCTTTGCATCGGAAAATGACTCGAACGTAACGGTGTCCGTTTGAACACATTGCCTTCCTGATGGTATCGAATCAGAAGGGCAGACTAAAATGAAACAGATTATTTTTGAGCTAAAAGCAGGGTTGATAGGTATGATATTCCTACAGTCCATAGTGCATTTGACAGCTATTCCTGTTTTGCAGCGTGTGGTGAGAATGGGAGTGCAGTTACCCTCGTTGAGACATACGATTGAATAGCTGCTTCTTTTGCGTAGTGCGGTTGGTTTGTACGACGCCAAATAGCTGAAAACGCTTCGATTTTCTTAGCTCTTTTCAACATTACTCCGAGAAAAAATGTAAATAAGTACACCTTCAGTGTATACTACAAGTTCAGCATGTTTTTTACTTCCAACTACAGCTTGTAGCGGAAGTTTGCTATGTAAAAGTTATCATATCATGAGAGCAAAGCCCTGGCGATGCTGGCGTTCAAGCAAAGCAAAAAAGCAATTCGTTTTGGGGGGGGGGGAGGGAATGGAACCCGAACGTTTAGCTTTTCGTATAGTTGCAGCATCTTCACTATTTTCATGAGTCCTGCGACGTATATTCTTATAAAGTTTTTATCTGCTCCTTAAGGTACACCTCCCTCCCCGATAATTTCAGATGGCAATCCTTGGGTAGGATAGAGCTGTTCACTGAAGTTGCTGATGGCCTACTATTATGACTCAAAAGTGCACGACAAAGGCACTAAGCTTTTCCGAGACCGTTTCGACCGCTTCCATTTTTCCTTATTCGCAACATGCGGGAACCTATGCCCTCCTATCCGTTGTGCTCTTTCGCAAATCCCCTCTACTCTGCTCCCATTGCCTCATTGGAAATGAATAAAACCGCAATTTCAGTGCTTTGTTTTCCTTTTTTCCTCACTACATACTTGCCCACTTGAGCAGCTCGGCTTTCATTTTACAGTGCATGAATAACACCGTTTGATCGTGGGATGCGCCCATGGTTGTACACTTCCGTTCTATCGCATTACATAGCATTGGTAGAACCTCGTGTTCCCTTAAACTACACAACAACTTGCATCGAAAGTTTCATGTGGGTATGTTGACGGCTATACCACGACGAGGGCCTTGCTAGCCGTGGCTTATGGAAGCAACACATGAATTGTGTTCATTGTATTGATGTCGGTTATTCATTCTGAAGCGAGACCATGAGATAATGTTGGCTGTAGGAAATCAAACTGTTTGAGAAAGAGAGTAAAGCAGCCACATAAAGTTGGAAAAACGGTACAGAAGACAGAGTTCGGCTTAAAAACTAAAGGCGAAAATTGAGAAGAAAGTCAGACACCGGCAATCGCAATTGAAAAATAGCTGTAGAGAAACAAGAGCAAGAAGAATCAAACACTACCCACTGACTAATCGGGCGAAATGCTTAAAATGCGAAATGGTACGGGTGGAGCGTAAGCTGAGAGTCAAAGAGACCCGAAAGCTCGAGCGTGCCTCAGCCCGTCCTTCCTGCTTCCTAGCCGCTTCCTGCTCTGCCTCAACACAGGGTCAACCCTGCGTTGCGCAAATTCCAAAATTTTTACGACCCCCTTCCTTTTCGGGGGGTATCGGTACGACCCCCCATATTAACTATCATGTCTTTCACATAATTTAATCTCAATGCTCATCAATGATGGCAGTCACCAACATGGAGAAGTGGTGGACCGTGGTCAATCCGCGCGCTCTGTCTCGCTCAGAGGAGGAATCGAGGCAAATGAAGTTTTATTCATTAAATAGAAGGAATTTCCAAATTTTTGCGTAAACCAATACATCATTTTAATCGTAAAGATTTCTACTTTCAGAAACCCACCAGGATTTTTTCGATCTCTCAACTTTCCTTACCTTATAATCTGAAAAACTAAACCTTGTAGCAATTACGTTGCAATCCAAACCCCTCCATTCAGAAGGTTATATTTTCTTTCAGAAGCGGTCTCATGAAATCGGACACCAAAATTTTAAAAATATAAATAGTTTTCTTCCTGAGGAGTATTTGAAATGTTGTGGATGTTCAATATTTCAAAAAATCGTCCCGTTGTTCCGTTTTCTGTGCACACGCGAGTTTTTGACATTCAAACATTCATAACTTTCTTCATAATCAACATTTTGCAGATGTCTAAGGCTAATTAGAAACTAGAGGATTAGAGCTTTCGAATAAGTGCTAAAACTTCTTGAAATAATCACTCGCTCAAAAAATAGTCCCGTTGTTCCGTCAATTCCACCTTGATTTTTTTCAAGCCTTTTTCCTGGACCGCGACTATGCAGTCTTTAAAGGCCCATAACTTCCTTTGAAATTAATGTGATGAGAAGCGGTAAAGATTGTTGGAATCCACTCGAAGAGTACTTCATAACAACTGTGAAATTTCCCTGAAATTCCTTCTTCTGCCTCAATTTTCCTACGGCGTCTCTAGAACTCAATTCAGCAAATTCGCTACACTTTGTTTCGCTTAGATTTTATTTGAAAGCATCAAAACTCTCTTCAGAAAGTTTGTCTGCTTACGGCCGCTGACAGAGGAGGTTTTTATGGAAAACGCCTGCTCGGGTATACGCCGTGCACCTATCTGTGGGCAGAATTCGCACTCGCATTTGAAAGTCTTCTGTTTTCCTGAAGAAGGTGTTAGTATCCTGATTGAGTTGTATTGTGCTGTTATATGGCACTCTTGTTTCACTTTCCCATGAACTGCTCTACACTTTGTTCTCCTCGGGATTTCAGGAATGTTTCATCATCGAAGACAGACCATGTTTTTGCACTACACTGTAACAAAGTTTTTGGCTATTGTCTATTGTACTCTTGCGCCGTCCGGATAGCGTCGATTAAGGATAATAAGCTGATGGTGAGACTTATAGTGCTCTGCATGCTTTAATGCTCCCATGGAGCTCATGTCTGTGTGACTCTCCGACAGCGTGCAGAGCTCCTGGAGAACATTAGAGGCTGAAAGTGCACTCCCGGACACTGCACTTTTCAAGCCGTCTTGCAGCCCGTCTGTGGATACGACCCCCTCCCTTTTCGGTCGGCTGAATACGACCCCCTCGTTGTTCTTTGCGCAACGCAGGGTTGACCCTGCTCAACACTCCAGCGTCAACTATGAATTCATACCAACGATAGAGAGCACAACGGATGAAAGCGTCCATGGCCAGGTTGAAAGCTCGTGTTAACACAGGAAATTGCGTTCTTGTCATACTTTCGACCTTCCAGTTTTGTAACATAAGTTTAACTTTAACTGCTTTTAACAGACTCCCATTAAAAAATGTTTTCGCGAAATTCTCAGTGAAGAAGGACTTATGACAGTAACAAACAGACACAGTATATGTAGCACGACTCAAACCATCCATTCTTGTTCACAACAGCAACGCAACAATCATCGTGACATGTAACACAGCCATGAACGACAATAGATTACGAAGACAAAGCAAAACCAACAGATTAGCGAATGAAAACCGGAGAAAAGTAGCTTCGAAGGGTGCGTATACACAGTTCGGTGCTGGGGCAGTAAGCCGCCCCAGAAAATGACAAGTAGATTAACACACTGACGACAATGAGACGCGGTTGCGCGTCTCAATTTCACCCGATTCTGGCTAGTTTTTTTTCGATTTATTTGGCATTTTTCATATTTCAGAACAGTGTGCATGCATTATCTCATCCGAAAAACTGTGCATCAATCACCAGTAGTGAATTATTGAAAAAGTTTTGATGATTGTGAAAAAATAAACAAAAAGGTGCCGAGGTACACGCACAAGGGGCTGTCGTCAATGTGTTAAAGAAGCGCAGAGAAGGTAAAGGGTACATAGCCTA